GGGGGGGGGTGGAGATCACAGGCATCCAATACTCCTGGAAGTGATGAATGCCAAAAGAGACTGACAGGCTGCATTGCTAGAACAAGGTGGCAGAACAGTTCCTCACTAACGATACAATGTATGAGTTTAGAAATACATTGAGGGGAATATTAAAACTGGAGTAGACAAAATCTGGAGCACTTGCCCATGGCCAATCAGAGTCTCTCTTTAGTTTCTTCAGTTAGGATTTGAAAATGAAAGAAAGAAGCCGATTGGTTGCCGTGCACAGCTGCTCCAGATTTTATCTGCTCCAGTTTTGATAAATTCCCCTCATTGTATCTTTAGAGAGGAGCCCCCACCTCATTTTTCTTAACCTCCTTTCCTTTTGTGCAGATTTGTTTCAGTTAACCATAGTCACCTGCCCAGCGAATCCAGCGTTGCCCTGCTGAGATTTGCATGCCGCCATCTTGGTGCTCTTTAGTCATCAGGAACTGGCTGCCTCTTCCGGGTTCAGGCAGCCAGCCCCCAACAATGCCCACAGCTCTGCCCCCTGGCCGCCCTGTGTCCCTACTATCCCTGACATACCTGCTGCTTATGTACCCAAAAGCCAAGGTTGATGATGTCTGCAGATGGAGACTAACGGTGAATCTGAACTAGGATTGTCCCCTTTGAAAGTGAGTGCGTGACAAGCACTGACAGGAGCCTGGAGCAGTAGCTTCTCCAGTAAGGAGTGCGGTAGGTTTCTCCTGTGTCCTGCCTCAGTGTTAACACGGAATAGTCCGTCCGTTCTCCGCTCTCCATCCTGAAGCAATTTGCCGTGGTTCCGGGTCCCCCAGAAGAGCGGTGGGGGGGTGGGGGGGCGGCGCTGCAGGCTAATTACAAGTGATGAAGGTGATGTACAGCCGCCAAAAATCACTTGATCGGCTCCACCTCTGCATTTATGTAGAAAGAAAACCCCATGGGCCTGCAGTCAGCCCCTCCCCGGCCGCATCTGGCAGCCGGCGGGAGAACCCACACTGCTGCGCTCGGAGGAGGCTGAGGAGCTTCTCACCTAGCGCAGCAGAAGGCTTGCGGGTGACCCACTCAACAGGTGGTTGCGACCCACTTTTGGTCGCAACTGTGACGACATGGTGATCAGTTTATGTGTATTGGTTAAGTTAAATGTGTATTGGTATTGAGTTATGTTTGAGTGCATTATGCTGTGTGACCTGGTTATGTAAAGACTATCAGCACCATCCCTCGTTATCTCCCATTGTACTCTGAGGGAGCTCAGAACAAATGACATTCTGGCCAGGCTCCTGCCATGGCTGTCTGGAGTTCGTTAGCAGGTGGACACCTGTGGTGTTGAGCAGACCGATGGTCTGGGAGGAGGGGAGGTGGATGTGATGGGATTATATTCTGATTTCATCACTTGCTGTATATAAGTTTGTGCAGTTGTTCAATAAACCAGAGTTTGTTTACCCTACACTCAAGCCTTGGCTAGTGACTGGGGAAACTGGGAGCTACAGATCAGCGGGTTCCAATATCTCCTCAGCAAGGAAGAAGACAGCGGCGGACATACTCATCCTGAGTACGGGGGTCCGTCACAGCAACCTACAGGTTGAGAACCGCTGATTTATTACATTAAGTGCACTACCTAAAATTAACCCGTCTCAATTCACTCTGCTATAATCAGACCAGGACAAGGTCAATTCTGATAGGTCAGCCTTTCAATGTACAAGGAAGCAGCACACTGATAAGTCTCCAGTCTGCTCTATCCTCCTGTCAGCATGTTCCCAGTAAAAGATATGCACGAAACACTGCATACATAAAACTCCCAGTGTAGTAAACCTAAGAACATTGCTGGGAATGCCAGATTGCATGCTATTAGATACCTGTAATTTAACCTGCGACTTTTGCAAACTTGTGGAAGAACCCTGTTTTTAACACATATTGTTAGACCGTGTCATTCGTTCTGTTGCAGGCTAGCTGGTAAGTGTGCTGGGAAATTAGGTTTTTTTGTAAAATTGTGGACGAAGGCTATTAAAAGGCCGTATGTGAAATCTTGGAAATTCGGACTACCTTCTGAAAACTGTTGCTAAGCTTGCAACCTCATACGGCTGTCAGCAGGTCTCATAGAGATGCCATGAGGCAGCAGGTGAAGGAACATCTCCCCAATGGGGTCACCACAGACATTTGCACTCTTCCCCACTTTATCCTAAACCAAGAACAAGATCTTTTTTGGATTTAATGGTTTGTATGGCATTGATGTTGCTCAGCATATCATGTTTAACAAGACAGAGTTTTCCTTTAGATATGAGAAATGGAAAATAGATGAAATGATCATCCCGGTCTGTATTCCTTCCAAGCACATGATGAGAAACAAATGCAAAGATAAAACTGTCTGACAGCGGTACATACTTCTGGACTGGAAGCGTCATGAGATCTTTGTCTAAAAACAACCTGAGGAGGAAATCATGGACATCGTCCACAGTCTCGGGGCCGCCCATGTTCATCATGAGGATCCCAGTTTTGGGTTTCCTGGAGAGTTAGAACACAACAGTATTGAGAAAATATTACAAAGCAACCATTCAAAACATACAGTATATTGCAGGTTTAAAGTGCCATCCAAACGGATCGTCTGTGTACACACACACACACACACACATACACACACACACACACTTCCTAAAATATTCAATGTTTTTATAATTATGAGCTTGGCAATGCCTGCTCACCCCCTTCCAGCTATCCCAAAACCAATGCAGCCACATCTTTACATTGTACTGCGATACCGAAGGGGTGGGTTAAGTCTGAGATTCCTGTGCGCACCTGGTTACAGGGCTACCCTGTACATGTTCGGAGTCTGCTATGAAGAGAAGAACATAGAGAGACCTAAAATCTGCTGGCTCCAGGCTCCCCACTCAGAGCTCACATAGGGGAAGTACGTCTAAAATCTGACCGCTTCAGGATCCCCACCCAGAGCTCACATAGGGGAAGTACCTCTAAAATCAGACCCACTTCAGGATCCCCACACAGTGCTCACATGGGGGGGGGGGAAGAACTTCTAAAATCTTCTGGCTCCAGGCTCCCCTCCCAGAGCTCACATAGGGCAAGTACCGCTAAACTCTGCTGGCTCCAGGCTCCCCACCCAGAGCTCACGTAGGGGAAGTACCCCTAAAATATTCTGGCTCCAGGCTCCCCACCCAGAGATCACATAGGGGAAGTACCTCTTATCAGGCTGAACACGAGTCTTGGCCTCATGCTGCTGAGTTGTTGAAGCAGTTGCTGCTGTTGAGCTCCATCGAGGTGTCACCACAGTAGCTGTACATTCTGCCTTCATATCTGTGAAAAGAAAGTATTGGCGGCAGAGTTATATGCGGTTCATTTATACAATACATTTTACCTTATTTCAACCAGCTCACTGAAGTTTCAGCCTAAAAGCCCCCGGCCCGGCCATGTACCACTGCACTGTATGGGACCTTAACACCAACCTGCACGTGGCACAAATCAACAGACTTGGGAGCACGTTTCATCTTACACCCACCTAATGGGGATCTGTGAATGGGAAGACTACCGCGGCAGAGGGACTCATACACCCCAGTATGGGGTGATGCCACCACACTTGTAGTCTATCGTTTACTTCCTCAAGCCCCATAACAGAAGGTCTGTACCTCCATGTGGACCTGGGGCCAGAATGTAAGCAATGCAGGAGCCTGATGTGCTGATCACTGATGCAATGTCCTCAAGGCTTCAATGCAAAACGTTTATAAATGTACAGTTTTATTTAGGTCAATGCTTTTTTTTCTCCCCTCCACGGCAGCACAAAGTCACCATACCTCTGCCCCCCGCTCCTTCCTAACCCACCATTCAGGGAACAAAGACAATACAAAGTACAGGCATGGGGGAGCCTCCCCTCGCCTCATGTGACAGTGTTGGTGCCTGGAGATTGGCCCAGCGCTGTCATGTGAGCATGTCATGTGAGGGATACTTAGAGCAACTATGAGCTCACACATTAAGCTTTGCATGAATGTGAACTAATAGTGGAAGGCCTTTTCATAACAATAAATGAGGATTCTACTACTTGTGTGCAGTGCAGTCCCCCACAGTATGCAGCCAACACACAATGGGCGGAATGTATCATAACTGGAGCAGACAGAATATGTGCAGGGCAACCAATCAGCTTCCATCTTCAGTTTGTTCAGTTAAGGTTTGAAAATGAAAGAGAGAAGCTGATTGGTTGCCATGCACAGCTGCTCCAGATTTTGTCTGCTCCAGTTTTGATAAATTCCCTTCATTAAACATGCATGGTCTACTGTGGTCAGTATCAGGAATCCTGCCATGAAATATGATGTGTAGTCAGGGGCGTCCCCATAATTCAGCTCCGCCGCCCCCTGCATGGCCAGCTGACAGCTCCGCCGCCTGCTGCCTTCTGCCATCCACCTCCTCCCGCCTGGCTGACAGCTTCTTCTCCTGGCCGCCTCAGGTGGCAAAAAGGGTAGAGACGGCCCTGCGTGTAGTATTAACCGGAGTGCATGTAGACAGTATGTGGCTGCAAAGAGGCTGGAGCAGATCAGCAGCTCTAAGATGCAACAAAGAATGAAAAGAGAAAAAAAAAAAAACAAGAAAAAAAAACAGCATTTATTGAAAAAATATGACAACTGTTCATGATACACTGCGCTTTAGCAAAGAAAATGTCCTTCAGTTATGGTTTACATAATAAAGGAACCCTTTAGCCACGTCATGTGCAGGAGAGATAAGTGCCCTGCATCAGAAGCGATTACACTTATCAGCTACTTGTCTCCAGGCTGAAGGCACACGTAGGATGAGCGGAACCCTACATGAAGCCGAGCTCCGAGGTGCACAGACAGCAGCAAAACTACAACCTGGGCACGCAGAGTACAAATAAGGGGCATATTATTTATAAAGCAGGCAATCTGACATGGCAGGTGAATCTGTCTTGTGCATGTGTTTTACTACCAGTGAATGTTTGGTGAATATATATATATTAATAAATAGACTCCCAGTGGTTATACAAGGAGTGAGTGAAAGATATAATTATTAGTTTACATGGGTGAGCAGACAAGATGCAAACGCCATTTAATGCATTGAATAGAACTGCCCCTTTGGCGGTGGTACGCTTCTGTTCTGCTGGCACTACAGGTCATACACTGGTCCACCTTCGGGCGAATCTTGCCGACTCGGACGATATTCTAACAGCGTGAGCGGCCCAGTTGGGACCACATGCCCCCCAACCCCACCTACACCTATTAAAAGAACGACTTGTCGAAGGAGATGGTTCAAAACAATCGTGGTCAATCAGCTGCAGTCACTGTTCAGGTAGCAGCAAACCCCGACATTGTCAGAGCAGAAAAGGGGTACCCCCAGCCATGCCATTAGTGCGGACGGATGGAATGTTGTATGGCCGGCTTTGTACTCGTCTGTTCGGTGAAAGTCACATTCACTGCTTTATAAACAGACTCCCAACGGTTATACAAGGAGTGGGAGTATGATAGAAGAGTGAGCACCTATCCAGCTGCCCGTGCCAAGACTCCGGATATACAGCAGCACACCCGATGTTGTCAGAGCACAATAGGGGTACCCCCAGCCATGCCGTTAGTGTGGATCTACAGAATGGGGGAGCAGTGTGGAATATTGCATGGCCGGCTTTCTACTCATCTGTCCAGGGAGAGATCGCCCACACAGCCAACCAGGCTACCTGTCCAGATCTTCTGAGCTGAGCCCAGCACACTCTACAGTCAATCCTATGGAGAGATCAAACTGAATCCACACAGGTTGAACTTTTCATGCATGGGCTCAGAAGATTTGGACTAGTGGCCCAACAGAACGGTGGGCGATATCTAGATGGATCAGGTAAACATAAAAGCTTGTGCACATGGACTCAAATGCAGGTATATGGGCATAGAGTGGAAACTATACCTATATTCAGGGGTGTATCTAGCATTGTCACCACCTGAGGGGGGGGCAGGCAGTGGGTAATTCATGCTACGGGGGCGCGGCCTCTGCATCGTCTCTCTGGCCGGCGTCCTGCCCAGTGATGTCACTGGTTGCCAGGAGCTCGGTTGGACGCCGACCAGAGCATTCCAAGGTTGCTAAGAGCTGGGTGAGGAGATGCGCACGGCCCTTACACATCTTCTTGCCGGGCTCTTAGCAACCTGGGATGCTAGGGCCGTAAAAGGGGCAGAAGGCACACTGAAAACACTGTACAGCAGAGGGGCCATGCCACTCTGCCTGCCCCCCCCCCCCCCCCCCC